CTGTTCTTTAAATGCGCTGAAATGCGTTTAAGTTGGGTTTTCTACAGTTTAAACACCAGCCATTTTCCTGAAAAATATCTTTGAATTCGTGTTTAACAGGACTCCATCAGCTTCACAGGGTGTATTTGGAGGTTGTTTTACTTAATCATTTAACCCCTTCCACGAAAGGTAAAGTGATACCTAAGGCTCCTAAAGTTCAGTAGGGATTTGAATACATTTTTTAATGGTTTAGAGCTTGTTTGTTCAAATTTGATTGAGTATACAAAAGGAAACTTCGCTTTTAGCCCTGGCTAATATATTAGAAGTCTGCAGAATACGCCATACATATCGCAGAATTCCAGCCGATTGTATGGTTCATCTGTGAGTGATGTTCAGTAATACATATGTGATTGTTGACATCACCATTTTTGTCACTCCTCATTGTTTTTAGCAAGTAACGTACTTAGGTCTCGTCAGGTCTCTGCGGAAATGTTAATAGCACGGCTTGTAGACTGTTCACAGTCCCCCATTTCTCCGTGAGATCGTCCAGATATAGAGCGTCTTTCCGTTAATGGCGGCTATCTTGATTTTCAAATGTACCGGGGGGGCGGGCGTCGGGGATTAAAGCTCAAGGGGGAGGAGAGCGCTATTTTTCCCGCCTCCTCTCAAACCGTTCCCCGACCCCTAAGTAGATTTGACACTCGTCTAAGATGGCCGCCCGTAACGCAAAGTTTTCGATCTCGACGGTCTCACGGAAAAATAAGGGACAGTGAACAGTCTACATGGCTTGGTGGTGGTGGTAGTAGTACGGGTGCCTCATGGGGTGACCGCATTTATTGGAGCTCCCTGCAGCCTCGGATAAATTAAGGTTAGTGAATATGTAACTCTAATTATCAAGGTATTATACTTCTGATCAAAGCTTACAAGGTAAGTACAGTTTAGAACACGCAACGTACCATATTCATAGAATGGGACGTCCTCTGCGGCAATTTCCACTTCATTCTCAAATAGCACACACTTGTATGTTCCAAGATCTTCCGTGGTTAAATTTTCAACGCGAAGATAAACCACACCCATAGTTTGCTGACAAGAATTGGGACTTGAGAACGTGCTATGTATTTTATACTTCCCATATACATCCATTATTTCTGTTTCGTTTATGAACATCCATTTCCACTTGTAAGAAGCCATTTGTTGAAAGTTAAGCTGGTTTGCCTTGCAACTGAAATTTGCACTGCCGTTTTGTCCCGTGTCAAGACGAAAGGCACTTAGTTTAGGTATTGTTGGTGGACCTGTTGTGCAAAACAGATAAGCCGGTGATCTACACTTTAGTTGGAAGGCGAAAAAACAAACAAACAAACAGGGGCTAGTGAATCGAACACCGGTTAGCGCTAACCCGAGGTTAAATTTATTTTAACCTGGGTTTCTTTTTCTTTTCATCAAAAGCACTCTCTTGCGGTAATTTTCTCTATTCTCTTTAGAGTATCCAATCATCAAATTGTAGGCAAAGAGAATGGAACTGAATTTGCTTTTTAAGCTCTAATGGCTGAGTTCAAATTTCGCACTAACCCCGGGGTTATCTTAACCCAACTTCGAAAAACCCGGCCCAGGACGAAACAATAAATGATTTAAAGGTGAATTAGTCATCGCGGAATGAAAATATAGGAAAGATAAAGTCTCAAGTGCTAGCCCTTAAGCAAAGGGATGAAACGGTGTGACTGCGCTCTAACGAAAGGCTGGCACTCATTTGCGCTCGTTTGCAAATCTTTTTACTGCGACCATTTCACTAATTTCAACTTGTTTCTTTTTCGGCAATGTACGAAATTTAAGAGGTTCCGTAAAAAAATAGTTTATAACGGACTACAGACCTGGGATTGGGTATGTTCGTCTGATCAACGGCACGTAAAGACCTGCTTAAGCCATAGATAAAAGGACAAACCAACCAACCCATTGTATAGTGACATCCTTGCACCCTGTACATTTAGTAATACTTAACTATAGTTAAATAGTGATAATAATATCGAATCATTCACCATATAAGATTATGAGTCAGATTATGAACACACGTTTATTTTATCTCGCCGTTTTGCGTTGTATTTGTTAGCGTTTCGTAAGCTTTTCAGTGTCGTCTAGCAAGCCTTGCTAGGGGCAAGCCGAAAAATTCGTCGATCACGATGACTAAGATGTTCAGGTAACAACTGAAAGCTCTGGCCCATGATCAACAGATCCGTCCACTTCAGTATTTTTGGAAGCAATTGCGTAACCGTAACCTGTCGACGCAGATGGAGAACCTCCAAATGCAACATAATGACTTCAAGAAACAGATTCAAGTACCATCAAATCTATCGCCCCAGCCAAAGCCGCTCACTTTGTTCGATAAGTCACACGTAGCAAATAAACTCTTCCCCACCAGATTAACTGAACCAGGCGTGAGGGTGAGTACATGGACTTTTCTGGCTTTTCATCCTTAGCCCTTTTCTCGCAACTGTCGGGCAATCCGCCTTGGCTAACATGCCCTCAGTTCAAGTAGATGCAAGCATTGGTAACGAAATCTAAGCGCCCGAAAGCGACATATTGATTCCTTTGACACGTGGCTGCAACGGTGGAATGCTTACGAGAAACTCGGCATGGCTTCCCATCCCCACCGGTACCCTGAACTGGCCTCTTATCGTGATCCAACACAACTCGCTAATCGTAGATGGCCCCCTGTTTACCTGTTTGACATTCAAGCCAGGATGGCATATGCCATCAAGATTTTTCACGCCTTACCCTGGGTGCCAGAGACTTTTCTAGCCCGGTTTCCGGTTTTGGCCTTGGCTTCGGCCTAAGGGCGAAGATGTGTCAGCCTTCGGTCAACACCGAAAATTCCCACCGCTCGGCAGAAAAACCCCGGCCAATGCCAAGTCCTTTGACCATACGAAGAAGGACTGTGGATTTCCTGCACCAGAACAGATGGAAGAAAAGACGACCGGAAATGGAAAAAATTCCCCGTGGAAGTACCCGGAATTGTACGCCCCCTCCGCCCAAGAAGGATGCAACCTCTTTCAGAGAAATGCAAATGCACCCATTTTTACAAGTCTTGTCAGGGGGACCACTCCGCGGCCAACTTTTTACTATCTACCGGACGTTCGCTCTCTGTTTCCAACTGACGTTTGGCGTGACCCTTTACGAACCTACCCGGACCGTGATTTTGTAAACGAATTATTACACGACCTTAATTTTGGCGTTCGTATAAGTTTTAATCATGATCGTACCCCTTTTTTTTCCTCAAATCACCGTTCCGCGAACGCTAACCCTGCGCCCGTCGAACAGGAACTGGAACGCGAACAGAAAGGCCGGGCCTTTCCTTGCGCCTACGTTTTCGAATTCTGTTTGGTCTCCGATGGGTGCTATTCCAAGAGGGCACTCGCAGCCTCTTAAATGGCGTATCATTAACGATCTTTCGTGGCCCGCTGGACATTCTGTTAACGACGCATTCTCCAAGGAATTATATGCTTGCTCCTACGACTCAATCGACCGTGACCAGGCTGTTTCTTACCTTAAGTCGTTCGGCCCCACTTCTCTAATAAGCAAACTCGATCACCCCTTCCACCTTATACTTGTCGACCCTCGTGACTGGGAGATTTTGAGGTCCATTTGGCCCCTCGTTATGTCTGATGGTTCTACGCGTACTGGTTATTTCTTTGACATGTTACTTCCGTTTGGTCTCTGGGGTTCGCCGGCGCTATTTCTTAAATTTGTTAACGGTTTGCGATACACTATGGCGCTCCATGGAACCCCTTTGGAACTACCCCCCATGTTTTGGGAATGTGGCCCTCCCGCCCCAAGCGCCGCTTGCTCTTCGAGTCTTAATGTTATGCTTCGTACCTGTGCTGACCTTGGATTTGCTACCAATCCCCTTTAATCAGTTCCTCCTACAACGAACCTTGTGCTTCTTGGCATCGAACTCGACACTGTCTCCCAGGAACTTCGCATTGATCCTACTCGTCTCGCTGAAATCATCGATCTCCTTAACGCCTGGTCCACTAAACAACATTGTACTAAACGCCAACTACAGTTTCCCTTATTGGCAAGCTTAACTTTATTTACACTGTTTGCCGTCGCGGGAGAACGTTCCTACGCCGCTTGTTGGATGTCCTCTGCAGAGCTCACCATCCGGCCCATCACCTTCGATTGAATCACGTCTTCCCCAAGGACCTCTTGTGGTGGAGAATTTCCCTCCCATCCTGGAATGGTCGTAGCTTCTTCTATGACGATAAATAGACAACTTCCTCACTCTTGGATCTTCACACCGACGCATGCCAGTCTGGCTTCGGTGCCTCTTACGCAGGCGACTGGATCTACAGGTCCTTCGCGGACACCTCGTCCCCTTCTCCCATTCAATTACTTGTAAGGTCCTCTTCTCCATTACCGCTGCGGTCAACACTTGGGCAGCATCCCTTGCTTGTCGCAATATTCTGTTTCATTGCGATAACTTATCCGTAGTACATACTTTGTCTAGTGGTACTAGAAAATGCACGCACATTATTACTCTTCTCCGTTTCCTGTTTTACATCTGCGCTCATCACAATATTGTGGCCATCCACATAGATGGCTTTGATAATCATTAGCCTGACACTCTCTCTCGTTTTCAGATCGACAAGTTCCTGGTCGCCTGTCCTGTGGCTTCCCGTTCTCCAACGCCTGCAAGACCTCTACCCTTGGCCAGCTTCAAGTAGACACGCCTCACTCCTTCGTAGGAGGACTATCGGACTCCTCTCATTGTACGTACAACAGTGCTCAGCACCGATTTCTCCACTTTAGCCAGGATTTTTCCTTGGTCCCCTTGCCAGCATATTTGCTACTCATCNCTTCGTAGGAGGACTATCGGACTCCTCTCATTGTACGTACAACAGTGCTCAGCACCGATTTCTCCACTTTAGCCAGGATTTTTCCTTGGTCCCCTTGCCAGCATATTTGCTACTCATCTCGCCCAAAGGATCAAACCAGAATCAATGAATGTTTATCTCGCGGCCGTGAGCTCTCTGCATATATCACACGGTCTGTCTAATCCACTTCAACCTGGATTGCGATGAAAACAGACTTTGCGTGGTATGGAACGCAAACATTTTTCGGCACTGAAATAAAAGATGCCGCTTACATTCAACATTCTCTCCGATATTCAGGATTTTATCATCCCCACGTGTGACGATGACATGGTGCGATGGGCCGCCATCACCGCTGGTCATTTTCTTATGCTAAGCGCAGGCGAATTTACAGTTCTTTCTCGCGACCTTTTCGATCCGTCTATTCACCTCATCTACTCTGACGCACGTTTACATTCTTCTCTTCTGGCACGGAGTATCTCTCCCTCCGACGGATCAGCGACGACAGGATTTGACCCTTTATACTGCATATTCGCGACGCTCCGTCTGTGCTGGTTGCGCTATGCAAAAGAACCTCGCTCTTCACCATCGTTGTGGTATCTTCTACAAGGCTACTACGCTCTTGTTTAACCTGTCCGACCAACGCCCTGTCAGCAAATATCCCTGGTCTCCTTCATCTCTCACTTACTACGCTTAGTCAATATTAACCCCTCCCACTACAGTGGTCATAGTTTTCGAATCGAAGGAGCAACGTCCACCTCCTTCGCTGGCTTAACCGACTATGAGATCAAACTCCTAGGCCGATGGATCAGTGACTTTAATGAACGGTACACTCGTTCTCCCTTCAGTTGTTCCTCGAAATGCCCCTTAAGATTGCACAAATGCACAATATGAAGTTTCACTTCGCCACTCCTTACAAATTCAATGAACCTGCTGCTGATCAATAATTAACTTTCCATTTGGGCTGGACCTTAGGCAGCTGTATTTTCCCCAGATGGAAGTACATTGAGCTCCCCAGATATGGCCCAAACACTCCTGATTATTGTGAAAGAAATAAATTAAGTAATATTTAAATATGGTTAAATGGTGTTAATAATATCGATTTATTTACCGTATAAGATTACGCCTTGGATTACGAACACACGTTTGTATTGCTATCTCGCCGTTTAGCGTTGTATTT